ATAGTTGCCGACATACGGATACTTTTTTGACAGAACCAAGATTTGCCTAAGCCAAGCATTGACCAGCCCAAAGGAACACTACCCAATTAAATCACCGCATTTTACATAATGTAGCAGCGCAACAGACATGGAAGTCAGTTAATTGGTAGCGACACACCTGACTACACACTTCTCCATTCACAAATCTTATATGAGATCGGAGTTTTTTGAAAAAAGAACGAATTTTTACCTAGGCATACCTTCGAAACTGAAATATTCCATATTAAATGTCAAGTCTGTAGTTCACATTTCCATAAGATTAATAGTACTTACTCGGTCTTGGACAGTGGAGTAGTACGTTTTAGATGTTTTTAAAAGTACATAACAACTTTCCATTAAAAGAATCCTCCTGGTTATCCATGCAGTACTAAGTACTTTTGATTTCGCATATATAACATATTTATAAATTAAGGTTATAGGTTTTGTATTTTTGTGTTAAATAGTTGTTTCTTAATTCAGTTGATATTTAAGTCAGATTTCACGCGTTTAGTGTAGTCCGTGATATGGAAATCGATGTAAGTTCTGAGAAAGTTAAGTATTTTGGATTTTCATAATAATTTGTGTATCTAAGTTGCACCCTCGCAAAAGATTTGAATATAGGTGATATTTTAGATGTACATAAGACAACAAAGATTATTATTTGGCCTGGAGCATCAGGCTGATTCTTAATAGGATATATACCAAGGTTTATTTTAATAATAACGCTCTGAATGGTTCTGATTGGTTATAATCGGAAATAAATGTGTCTGAAACTATTTTGTTTTGTTTTTTAAGATAAAGGAACCCAAGCCAGGACTTTAAGCGCATTCTCAGCTGTATGAATCGCTTCTTGTGGAACTTATCTGAAGGCAATTAAAATTTTTCAAACATACCGTATTTTGTAAACGTATTAGCTTACACGTACATCTTAACTAGTAGCAAGCGATAATTAAAGAGGAATCAAATAAGAAAAATGATAAAGAGTTATTGAGTGCAAGTTTCATTTCTTTAAGAATCAACAATGTAGAAATTGTTTAATTGTAAGGAAAAGATGGAAGATGCCAGAGTCACATTAAATTTTATTTTGTTTGTCTTGTGACAATCAAATTAGCTAAATTTTGGATATGATCCAAGTATGAGTAATTCAAAGAATGTTTTACACATTTTAATTGAAAGCAAAGACATTAAAATTATCTAATAAATAATATTGAATGTTGGAATGCAACATGAGAAAAGAAAAGTACTAGTATTCACGCAAAAGATGATGTAACAAAAACAAGAGAGTCTCTCACATTCGTATGAAATCAGCGAGATGGGCTTGGCCGCTTTCTGCGAGATAGTCAACAAAAATCTTAAAGGCCCTGTCCTCTTTTTTGCTCAGTATGTCCAGGAATTCTTCTGCCTTGGTACGTAATTGCTCAGAGCTTTTGATGTTTTCTGCCTCCCTGGACGTAAGAGCGCCTGTCGCCTGTAGTCTGGTCAGTAGGTCCCTAATACCCGCATTTGTCAGCCCTTCCACCAGAACAACTCTGTTCCTCACTAAGGCGTGTTTGTGGTCTCTTGTCATTGCCTTGTAACCTTGAAAATAACAATATAACAATATATGCTTTATACCAACTTTCTACACCAGAGTGAGCTGGTGAAAATATACGGAGGTATTAAGGAATTTGTCCAAAGATATTATCACTGTCTCGTTTGGACTGTTCATTGTGAAGGAGAATTAATCTTTGTTGTTTAAATGTGTAAAGCATGCGTGCCCACTTTGTACTACTTGAAAGAGTTCCTTAACCAATGATACATCTTTGAATTTCAAGTTCACTATTTTTTTTCTTATCACCCGTCAGATTACATCATGTTATCTGTTAAGAGCACATGTATTGCTTATTTGAAATAACGAATCTGATAACTCTAAGGAAAATCTTTTCTGAACACCGTAATAACCTGTACCTGCTAATGCTGGATATATAAGCCTTGCCGGTATGCTTCCCTCTGGGGCATAGGGGCAGGGAACAACAAACGATGACCAGCTCTGCTGTTTGGGGACACTGCCAGGGTTATCAAGGATTTCGCCAGGGAATAAAGTGGGATCCTCGATTCTCTCCCGGACACAATGTGGACACACCAGGTACTTCTCAAAGGGCACACCAGGCCAACTTTGTTCAGCTATCTCCATAAAGTCATCGTGGATTTGAATGAGGAGGTCCCATGGTTCAAGAAGTTCTTTGCTTTTGACTGATGCTGTTACCAGCCAGTCTTTGTTGTTTCTCTTGTCTTTGGTATCTTCATAACACTGAAGAAGAATCTGGCATTTACCAACGTTTGCGTAGACCCCATCTTGCCAGTCCTCTCTGCTACATTTGAAAATGCCCACGTGTTTGTGGAGCTTGACGGCAAGCCTCTGAAACATCCCATCCGGGTACTTATATGGAAAGCGTATCTGCATGGTTTGATGACTGCTGTCAACAGATATATCTTTATCCCATTTTGTTCTAATATGAGAAGGCATGTTTTCTCCCAACAGCCATGGAAAATGGTAAGTGGCATTTCCATCGCCAGATGGACCCGGCACCTCATAGCAAAGCTCCAAGTTCTGCATTATTTCTAACATGGCAATTTTAGCATCATCTGAAACTTGACATCCGCCCCAAAGACAACATAAAACGTTTTTGGTTGCAGTGCCCCTTTGATAAAGATCCAAAAGAGTGTCTTTTATCTTTTTTGAGGTAAATGTTGAATGCTGCTCAAGGTCGATCCTTTTTGCGTCCATGTCATGATGTAAAACGGCCTTGAGCAGTTTGGCTAGCACCTCTTGTTTGTGAAATATGACATTTTTCATGGTGGGGCTCTTCTCAAACCACACAATATCTCCCGAACTTGCCATGTACCCCAGAATGTCTTCTGCCAATGTCGTAATATCTTGTGATTCAGCATCGGTTCTCACATTCGGGGAGGCAGGATCAGCAGCTAGATCCATAGCAGTCTTTACAAACCCTTGTATTTCCGTCCATGATAGTGTACTGCATTTCTCATCTTTTTTCTTTTCTTCGATCTGTTGTATAACGCTTAGCCAAGTGACTGGTAGTATAACGTGCCTTGACATTGCCAAGCTTTTAAGGTGGGGCTCTAGTTCACTACACCCTCCCCTGATCACTGAGCTTGTTATAAATATCCTTTCGTGGACTTTGGAAGTAGACTCGGCTAGCTGTTTCTCTTTTATTCGGATTTTCTTTTCGTACAATGGCAAAAAGTTGTCGTTCTTCTTTTTCTTCTCCTGCAACTCCTGTATTTGCCCTTGCAGCCTTCGTTTCTTTTGTTCGACGTATTTCACTGTTCTGTCCAACACATCAAATGAAATATTCTTTGTGTCACTTTCAGGTGCTTTAAGCATGTCGGAATGTGTTCCTACAAGTGTGATCTTAGAGTCCGTCCCGTGACACTGAGACTGAATGGAATCTATCCAGTACCCAATATACTTCTTGTAGTGCTCTTCTCTGTTGGTATCATACTGTGAGAGATCAAAAGTAATCAGGGAATTGCTGCTGTCATGAATGAAGAGAGGATAACTCACTCTGTACATTTCATGTCCACCAAAATCATTAATGTTGAGAGTGATGTTCTCCTCGGGTTTCCACTGCAACTGCTCGATGACCTGAGTTCTGTCTGCTTCGGCTGTTGGCGAGGGCTGCCTGTTTTTCAGAGTTCTGACCAAACTGCTTTTACCACTGTTCACCTCCCCTAGAAAGTTTATCTGCACTCTATAGCATTCGACTACTCCGTACTTCTCCAAGATGGCAAGAAAACGCAATATAGCACCGGTGCCTTTCTCGCATACTTTAAGGGGCGGCATCACGAGGGGATTCCCCTCGACCCTCAACGTCGTCAGGTGTTTCAGGTTCTTCACTTGCCAGGGAAGATGGGTGATTTTATTCTCCGATACACACAGGTATTGCAATGTTTGGATTTGGCAAACTTCAACTGGGAACTCTGTAAAATGGTTGCTGTAAAGGAACAGGTGTTTGAGTTTGGATAGTTTGGTTGTATCTCCTGTAATGCTAGACAGTTGGTTCACGCCAAGGCCAAGTTCCTGTATCTCTGGAATATTGAAAACTGCTTCAGGAAATGTTTTGAACAGATTGATACATAAGTCTAAACGTATAAGTTTTTTCATCTCTGTGACATCTGGGTGGACATGGGAAAGACGATTGCTACTCATGTCAAGGGTTTGTAGGTTTGAAATAGTGCAAACTGCAACTGGAAACTCAGAAAATTTATTGTCATGCAGGTTCAGTTCTGAAAGTTCGGACATGTTGCTAACATCAGGATGAATGTCGGACAATTCGTTGTTACCCATATCTAGGAATTCCAGATTCGTAATAGCACATACCGCATTTGGAAGCTCTAGAAACTGATTGTCAGCAAGATACAGTTTTCTTAATTTGACCATATTGATGACATCTGGGTGTACACTATACAATTGATTTCCGCTCACATTCAGGATTTTAATCTCTGGGATGTTGCATACAACAGAGGGAAAATCTGTGAAGTTGTTATACTGAAGATACAATTCAGTGAGGCATTTCAGTTGCAAAATAGAGTCAGGGAGAACCGTCAATTCATTCTCTGCTAAATTCAAAATTCTCAGGTGGCAGCACCTGCCGATACTTGCTGGAAGAGTGGTGATATCTTGGTACTCCAACTGCAGACATGTCCATTCTGTGAAATCTCCGGTTAAATCTTCCTCATCACATTTTTCAATTCTTTGGAGATGCAGTAATTTTTCTTCGTCTCCATAGTCTGAAGCCATAGTGGAGGTGCATGCATGTATATAGCCCTCCACGTGCCGTCACCCCTTGTCCCTGTACATTGTAACAGCTGCTGATGGACTTAGGTGGGGTTCATCATCGGTTTTTATCCTTTACGAAGACGCGGAAATTCTAAAATATAGAAACATAAAGAGATGAAAATGTCGTTGAAATTTGACACTTTACATCAAAGTATCGGTAACACTGTTTAAGGAACATAAACCGTAACACTTTTTAAAATGACTGGGTAAACGTACCTGTTCCCCGCAGTAACCCGATTTGGGTCATCTTCAATATAATAAACCCTTTATTTTGTTCGCTTTATGCAGTCCAAACAATGATAGCTCTCTGGCAGTCAACAGAGATCAGCTGGCTTTTTATGTCATTTCTTTCTTTTAAAAAAAATCGGCGAGAAATTTGCACAGAAACAGCCAAAGAAATATATGTAAATAATCACTGTAAAAATACACCTGTGGTCCAATAAGACAGTAGCGAATACTACTGCAATCGTCTGCGATAATCTAACGCTTAGGGCATACTTATAAAAATCGATGTGGAGACGGGTGCACCAGTACGTCAGAGTCTAAGGGAGGAGAGGAACGCCATTTCCTGGCTTGGTTCAGTCTACATCCAAAAGCCCGTTCCACGACACAGTTTACATGTCACACCTGGCTGTGACACTATATGCTGGGACACACCCACTTAATGACTTAACATAGAATACGATATTAAAAATACACACATTCACAGACGGGACAGTTGACCTGCTACTTCCCTATACTATATTCATGGATGCAAACATATAAGATCAATTGACTGCCTTTACCTTAATTATTGGATTACTGTGTTCGCATCCTTATCCCAAACCTAGCACTCTCGCTCTGTATCAGACGGATCGTATCAGACTGCTCCATCAGGGACGCCTTTACTAGGAAGAGGTTATTGTGATTTAGAGGCTCTGACCTAGAACAGTTATTTAGTTATTGACATAGTGTCTGTGATCTGGGGCCTTTGTTCGTTTCTCCATAGATTCTCACAATGTAGATGCTCCGCAGAAAAACACGTGTTAAATACTGAATGTCATATTAAGCAACTGATATAGTCCAGAGATAAATTTGCATAAATGCATGTCAACTTTACATGTAGATGACTTAATAAAAACATTATTTAAAACGTGAACGTATATCAGGCCCGTCGCCAGCAATTTCATAAGGGGGGGGGGGGGTCTTTTTCTGAAAATCTGGACCTTTTACCATGAAACCCTTGTTTACCTAGATAAAATTTTACCTAGAGAGTGGACCTTTTTCCTGCAAAAAGAAGTCCGAGCCCCCGGTTACGGACCTGTATATATTTGCATATCCCGGTATATGGTACACAAAAAAATGTTCACATGTGTGCATAAGTTTTTATTATTTTTGTTACCGTACGCTTACTTGGTCAATAGAGTGTAACTGGGTATGTTTAACAATTTTCATTTGGTTTAAGGTCAGAATCAAAGCATAACATGCTTTTTTCCATTACTCGGAGTTCTCTTATAAGCTACAGAGACCTATGCCCTCATCTTAGGGTATTGGTTGCCATATAATCTCAACGTGACCCTGTGAGATTTTAGGATCAGTCAGTGCATTTGCATAGGTGTGACGGACTTCGCAATGCACCACCGTCACTTTACAAAATTAAATGTGAAATACCCAATTTAGTCTATTTGTCTAATGTAAAAGATCACTTAGTTAACAAGCTATAGATGTGTATGTGTGTGGGGGGGTCATTCATAGTTAAATAATATATAGACGAATTATTTAGAGGCGTCAAAGCATTCCACGAAACACAAGTCAGCTTTTCGTTACAAGTGTTATTGGTTTATTTAATAAACAATTCACCTTTAAATTGTTGATTATTTCTGGCAACTGAATCAAATTCAAAGTAGACGTAAGAGGAGTTTTTATACGTTTTATGTACACAACCCCGCTAATGTACTGGGTAACAATAGACCACCGTTCCTTAGGAAAAGTAATCCTAGTGGGACATGTATTACTGACATCGATACTGAATACATTTAAACGAAATAAACATACTTTACATCCTGGTAAAATATTCCTTCATTTAGGACCTCCATTCCTAGAAACGCTAGACATAGAACCGACATTTCCCGGACTCAGTGTCCGGTCGGACTTGTGTTACTAGAACTGAAATTACGTTCACAGCCCAGCAGCTTCAAGTACGGAAATCCGGTGCTTGCCCTTCGCCTAGACAGTTATCCATTCTATTTCGCGTAAAGCTCAGCGCTGTGATTATCATTACCATAAACATAAGGTAAAAACTACACCTCCCTCAAGGTGTGCAATTATATTGGGTACATCGTTTTATCTTGTTACTAGATTCAAGTGCATGGTATCTTCCTGGTGACTCTAACAGATCTGCTACATCAGTGAATACAATCAGTGACCACCAGCAATGGCAGTAATTATGGACCAATTACCAAACTGGCAGATCCTAGAGATACATATGATAGCAAGTACATGTAGATCAAACCAAGGTCGTATTCAATATACGTCCTTGATCAAACGAAGCAGGCCTTAACACGTGTGTAGTATTTCCATTTCAATTTAACTGTCCATGTTTTTTTTTTTTTTTTTTTTTTTTTTTTGTAAAGACTGGGTCCTTTATATAGGTAAACACATGAATTCCATACCTTTTGCTGCTGGTTTTAGTGCCTCCTGCGGCAGCATGAGGCATAACGACGGCGGTGTCTTAAATTGACCAACTCTGGTCATTACATCTTTTCTAACTTCAGTACGTCGATAAGCTCGGGCGGTACAACGCATCTTCTATTGTGTCACAGCACCACGAGTCCTGGAGCGCATTCTCAACGAATTAAGCNTAGATCTGTCGCTTAATTCTCTTTGCGTATTAAGGTGGGGAGTTATAAAATACACTCTTGATTATTTGATCAAGACACAATTAAATTTTGTCTCATTTGGAAATATTTTACGTGATAAAAAAAACTGTTTAATCTATTTATTATTTAATTAAAGTGATTACATTAAAGTAATTTCACAATCAGTTTGAAAATTATATTGTATCTTTACTTTTCATTTATTCAAATATTTCGTTAAAACAAAGAGATGCGATAAGAACAAGGGCATTCGTGAAAATCTATTCTTACTTGGGCTCATTGGAATAATTTAAAAGCATCACAAAATTCACCATCAATCAATCTAAATAAGCCCGGCTCTTTTAAATAACAGGCGGTTACTGTGGTCTGATCGTCGTCAACAATATTTTTGCTTAGCAACTCCTCAAACATATTCTTATGAAGGTTAACATACGTCTCCACCGCTTTCCGCGTCCCTCCAAAGAAACCACCAGCAAATATCGGGTCTTTGTTAACCTTATATTCCTTACGAATGGATTTCAGTCTTTGTAGCTGACCTCGCCGTCGTAAAATAAAGATTACCCGATGATCGTCTGGATCCATGATTTTTTTGGGGGACCATAGAGGTGACGGAGGCACGCGACCAGGTTTTCCCTCTCCGTATCCAAAATCAATCCAGTAAAAGAACTTAGTATTAAAGCGACCAGATTGACTGGCTTTTAAAAGTAAGGGTGCCTTGGAGTTGGTTACGATGTTATACCACGGGCAAAATCCCTCTGGGTGTTTTAGAAGTTTGTGGCCTTTTTTAAAATTGCCTGAGAACATGACATTATTGACTAGGTCCAAATATTGGGCGCAGTGTAATTCCTCTTTGGAGAGAGAAATTATTTCCGTTTTGTTCATCATATTCGCTCTCATTGCTTCCACCCGTGATCTGAATTCCTCAGGAACAAACACGATAAAGTTCGACTGCAGTGACAATATGCTTTCGGCGTAAGTGAAATATTTGTCATTATCTCTTATAAATCTTGGCCAAGAGCCCCGCCCAATGTCAAAGAATCCAGTAACGAAGGTAACATCGGCATCTGAAATACATAATGTATGTCCATATTTTAGCACGTTAGGGTACTTTAATATATCAATCATTCATTGTTGATGCGTCACATGATGATAATCTGTTTATGATAATCTGTAAAAAAAAATAAAAAAATAAAAAAAAGATGACACTTTGAAAGGTCCAGTCTGCAGGTGTGATATAAGAGCTTGTTTTTCATTACCTGTTGATCATCAGTTTTAATTTTTTCTTTTAATCCTTATTAAAAAGTAATAATAAGGATTAAATGTGTGCGACACAAACTACTGGCACATTCCCGTGGTAGTACTAAAAGTGTCCATTTAGTCTCGCTAGCATTTGAAAATCAGTTGTATTCAGTATACTTACCGACCACGGTGGTTCCATTTTGATCCGAAAGAACTGGTCCATTAGCGGGGACAGACAAACGTCCACTCATGTCTGCTAACGGCGCAGGCTTTGTTAAGAACGTCAGACTTGCACTACAGTATAACACAACTGTCCCAAGACAAGCTACCAACAATATCCATCTCAAACCCACTTCGAGTCTTCCTTTTAGTTGTTTGTATATAGTGTTCGTATATGACATGATGCACCTTGAACGGATAAAGTGTTTCAGCCAAGGATACGTAAGGAATGCTTATGTAGTAAATAATGCACTGTCCACGAGCCCGATATCATGACAGCATGCCCAGCGCCAGCGAGTCACCGTCCAATCATTTTCATTTGCGTGAATGGTTTGTGGTTGCGTGTGCATTGACAGGGACATGGATCAGTTTTTTCAGTGAGTAGTTGGCTGATTTCCTGCACATCTTCCACACTTGGCAGTCACATTCATTGTATCGGTCCCTGCAATCCTTTTGTTTAGATATCAGCCCCGTGGTTTGTATACCCACGTAGACGGCGGATAAGCGGCTGTTTATTTATCTTCATATGTTAATTTCATATATTTATATTATCTCCAAATGTTAATATCATATATTTAAATTATCTTCATATGTAAATGTCAAGTAATGTATATTTATATTGTCTTGATTCATATCTGCCCAGCCTGATTACATAATACCATCATGCAATGTGGGTTGGAGCAGTGTTGAATGGTGTTTATTTCTGTGCAACGTAAATAAAATTTCTTTACTTTATTTACATGTATTTGTTAATCACAGGATTGGACGCCACACGAGCATTTAGCCATGCATTTAGAGTGCATGTAAAAATACATTAACATATGTCTTAGGGTGTGTTAATGTATTTTTCTCACAATTCAGTGTGTGTGTGTGGTGGGGGGGGGGGGGGGATGAAAGTCCTAGGACTTCTCCTAGGACGTCTTCTTGCAGCTACTTCAGGGTTTCTAAAGAACTAGCTACGTCTACCCCGTAAATATGCAAAAAACTGAAAACTGGTTGAGTTACTCCAAAATTATACACATTTCCAAAAGATTGATCGTACTTCCAAGGTTTGGGACTGTTAAGTTGTGCTCTTTAGTGTTTTTAAAAGTACATAACAACTCAAGAAGAAATTTAATTATGTCTTCTGAAGTAGCCATGTTTTGCTTACTACTATAGAATGTGTCCGTAATATTTATTAAAATTGCTTTTAAATATCACCTTGAAGAGGGTTGTTAAATCATTGGAATTTCTTTACTAAACAAGATTTAGGTAAGTATTTTATATTTTGAAACAGAATTGTTAGCCCATTATTATTTCGTTTAAATCAATTAAATCGAATTTCAGGACTTAGTCATACATGTATATCTAATGACAGCCCTAAACATATTGCCACTGGTCTTCAGAAAAGTAACCGCTAGTGAAATATCCAAGTCAGCAAGTGCTTAGATACATGTAGCATCTGTGGAAAATCAAGCTAAGTTTCACTGACCGAAGCATTCAACTCGACAGAAGAATGAATAATACAAAAAATTGCATCATTTTTCACGTTTGAGGATTATCAGTAAAAGCGATATAAATTTATAATAGGCGCCCGTGGTACTTGAAAATGTCACCTAGGCTTCAGTCATTTGCTGCAAGGAGACACGCTGCGGATGACTGACGCTCAGCCGCATTAGTTTTGCCTCCTCCCCTCTTAATGTTTATTATAATCCTCTGCACGTAGATACTGATTTGAAATTTTACTGCTACACCCGTAATGGGAGCGACTGATGCGCGAATTTTAACTTGAGGCGGGTTTCATCGCACATTAAATAATCCCCTAATGCGCTATCTTATGATCACGGTCTGTGCCCTGAATATCCCGCCGCGTAATTACTGGCAGCGCGAGCCAGTTACTTATAGTAACTTATAGTAACTGACTCGCGCTGCCAGTAATTACGCCGCGGGATATTCAGGTCACAGACCGTGATCATAAGACATACCGCGAATAGAAAATAGAATTTAGAAAATAGACATTGCATGTGAACGAAGCCTATAATAACACGGTGGTGGAATCGCATTTGTGACAGCGGACAGGAGACAGAAGGTCACCAGAACAGTCAGCAAGACCAGTTGGGCCGCGCGTTCCTCCATAATCAATCCTGTATTATGAAAATGTAACGCCTGTTTAAATCAAAACTAATTTTTCCTAAATGCATTTGGGATTTCTTTACTTGTTAAACGATTTATCTTAAGTTAATCTATTATTTCGCGAGAGGAGTTTTAAAGTTATAGCTAATATATTTGTTAAAGCTTACCCGTTATGAATAACTCGAATTAAAGTATCTGCTTAAGCTGTTTTCTTGGAACGGCTTCTTACAGCAACTTCGGTGTATCTGTAAAACTATATCACGTCCACCCCATATATATGCAGAAACTGATAACTGTTTGAAGTACTACAAAATCATATACATTGACATAAAATAAATAGTACTTACTCTGTCTTGGGCAGTGAAGTAGTACTTTTTAGTGTTTTTAAAAGTACATAACTTCTCATGTAAAGATATTTCATTTTCTCCTCTGCAGCATCCATGCGTTACTTAGTACTATTAATTGTGTCCGGAATAGTCTGTATTTATTTAATTTGTTTCGAAATAACAGCTTGAAGAGGGTTGTTAAAACCATGACATCTTATCTGGAACAGAATTGTTCTTATTTTTCCGTTTAAATCAATACAGAGCAAGTTTCCAGGATTTAGTCAAGTAACATATTGCCTTTGGCCTTCATAAAAGTAACCACCGGTGAAACCACAAAGATATATAGGTGGGCAAGTGCTTAGATAGCAGAACATCGGGTTAAGTTTGCATGCAACGCCTCCATGACGGTACAATGGGCGTCGAAAGTTTTTATTTAAAGATAATTCTAGAGCTTCCAAGGTGAGGCGAGAGTGCTGTTAACATAACTGTTGCCAGGTCTGATGAATATCTGCATGGTCGGCTCTAAAATACAGACACGCATAAACAGGCGCGTTGATTTTAATATAAAAATGTTGGGAATTAGTTCCACAGGTCAATGGCAATAAAAAGAACAGTGGAAAACTATTATCATCGACCATAACTATTCAACTCGACAATAAATTACATGTACATTACAACAATTGAAAAAAAAAGTATTTTGCACTTTTTTATGATTGAGGATTCTCACTAAAACAATATAAATTTATAATGCCTTTAAATTTATAATAACCCCCACAAATTAAAACGTCTGCACTATGTTGTTTGGGAATTATATATAAAATAGTCTTTTCAGGCGTAAAAACTATGTATTTTGGCACTGTCACAATTATTTAATTTTAACATCAAAATTTAATTCATTTTAGTAGAAGGATTCACAATAAAAGCGGCCGGCATCGGCCAAATTTCGAACATCATACTTGTGTTTGTCACTTTATTGCTTCTTTTCTCGGCATCGTATTGAACTTTTCGATAAAGGAGACATAAAAGTATTTTGCACTTTTTATGCTTGAGGATTCTCACTAAAACAATATAAATTTATAATGGGCAAGGATTAAGTAAAATAGGTCCAATTATCTGTATCTTAGACCCTCGTGTTTGTTGAGGGCAGGTTGTTCAGTTCACTCATGGATGGCCTCTTGGGCTTTTCCGTATTTAATTTAAACGTAATTCATACAGAGCATAATTCAAATTTGACACACCACCAGCGTTTACTTAATCGTAACGAGTTCATTTTATATCATATTATAACAATGATTGAATGCACATTGCATGACAAAATATTTGGTAGATACACTACAAGTACAGTTTTCTGATAAAATAAAATTTATTTCGAATTTTATTTCTTTCCTTGTGGAACTGGAACAAAAACATTCAACTATTAATGACGTTTCTATAAAAGTTTCCCATAAATTGCCAAAATAACGGTACACTCTTAATGCAGTAAGGTCACACTGGTTCTGCTTGCTGTAAATATACTTTCTCTTTTAATAATCACTATACCGCCATCTTCCTTGTCTTTACTATGCAGCCGGTCTTGGTGACTTCAGCAAAGTTTTACTGTTGTCGCCTGTGTCTTTTGGATACCGACCGAAATGGACAAAAGCATATTTGAATTTCCCCCACGTAGCCAGTATTACAGCCTCCAGTACAGCCAGTATTAACACACGATTTCTTGTACTCATCATAAAAACACCCTGCACTTGTTAAAGCAGACATGAGGAAGACCGTCATCAAAACTGTCAGCAAGACGCGTTCCTTCATAATCAGACCTGCAATACAGTATAATATGTAACGTTTAGGTGTATACTACTTTCAACTTAATAACTGTAGGTGTTTATTTTCTTTTAGAACGCCTAATCTGAAGCTAATCCATTGATTCAAAATGATAATTGTTATTTAAATATTTGGCAACCTGTAAAAGGTTGTGTAAATATAATGACACAATCACATATAATTACTGAAGATAAAAATAACTAGAACATTGATGGATATTTAAAAAAATACCAAGATAAAATTCAGCTATATAAATTTAAATAAATTTAACGACTTAAAAGTTTTAAAAGTTTGTGTGTCAGCTAGCTTTGAGGCTTGTCTAATGAATATTTGGTCCTGGATCAATTAAAAATACATAAATATATTACATATTGCAGTAGATATATTGTTTGTTATCAGTGAGCATTAGTGTGAATGCCATTAAATGCGTACTTGAATATATCGAGACAGTTTTATATACGGTAAAAAATCTGTTGGTCGTTGGAGTAAAGTTATATTAACGTTTTAACGGTTTCACCTCTACTATTAGTTTATAATTGATCTTTATGTGATTTGTATTGAGATTCAAGGTAAATAATGAAAACCATTCCTGTTCGAGAAGCCGAATAGACCAAGTCTGCTTATCACGTGTTCACGGGTTGGTGTCCGATATATGATACAACATTTCAAGGCTATTTTCATTACGTTAACAGGCCTACCCAACTACCAGACTCGGCACCTAAGGATCCTGAATTAACCGGTATATCGGACCACACTGCCCGTTTTCAAGGTGTGTGTCAGATCGCATTTCGGAGTATCAGCCAGAACACCGACAGGATGAGCCCTGGCATGCTCGGCTGTCACCTTGATTGGATAGTAAACGGTTGTCGTAAAATCGCTATATGATTTTAAAACCGGGTGCATAAATTTGAAAGCCACCTAGATGAACCTAAGACTGCCACATTAATCTAATACAATGCAAAAAAGCCCTATCAAAAGTGGTTAAAACATTCAAACCGAATGTCGTAAAGTCCCCATATATCCCCATGGAGACAATAAAATAGAGTACTCTAAAGTAAGAGTACAGTTTAAGGTAGTTCAGCCGAGCGTGGATGAGCCCGCAGTCGTGCTACAAAATTTGTTCTAGG